TCCCTGCTCTGTGAATGTTTACATGTTATGTTCAATTAAACCATGGCAACATGTAATGTTTGTGCATTATTATTTTCAGCAGACTGTGTTTTTCTATTGTTGTGACTTAGATGACGTTCAGAGCACATTTTATGACCAATTCATGCAAAACTCTGTGTTATCCCAAGGGGTTCACATACTTTTTCTTGCAACTGTATATCTCTGCTCATTCAACCTTTTGTCTCTTTTCTGCAACAATCTTGGCTACATTAAGATCACAGTAAAGGGAAGGATGAAAGTTCTCCCATCAGCTTTCTTGATGTAACTGCTGTAGTTGGGGTTAAAAGTAAAAGCCCTCCACCCTCAGCATTTGCCTGCCCCCCCCCCCGGCCTAAGCATGGTTACAGCAGGAGCTAGAGTATGACTAGAATACACATTAGGAGAGAAGTTACTCATGTTTTAAAAAGTATATTTCTGTAAAGCCCACTATCCATAGAAGCTTCTGAGTGTATGTGCCAGTTGTGCCCGTATAAATTGGGGCACTACTCATGGTCACTCATGCTTTGGTCACATCTTGGTTAGACTACTGCAATACACTCTACGTGGAGCTGCCCTTGAAGAGTATCTGGAAACTTCAGCTGGTGCAAAATGCAGTGATGAGAGCAGTTATATGTGTGTCTGTTGAACACACATTACTCCTCTGCTTCATTAGCTGCATTGGTTACCAGTGTGTTCCCAGGTGCTGGTGTGGACTTTAAAAATCCTTCATGGCATTGGGACCAGGTTATTTGAGAATCACTTCTTCCCAATTTCATCTGCCCATCTAACCGGATCCAGCAGAGAGGGCATGTTATAATTCCTTTGCTTAGGGAGCTACATTTGGTGGGTCCTGCTATGGTGCCCACCTATACAATCTTCTCTCCCCTAAGGTGACCACTATTGATCTTCTTGAGGTCCCTCAAAACCTGGTTATGTCAGCAGCCCTGGGTACTCCAAAGCAGGGGTCCCCAACCTCCGGTCCGTGGACCGGTACTGGGCTGCAACATGTCAGCAACTGGTCCATACAAACAAGCAAAGCCCCATCTGCAAGATGCAGGCAGCACACAAAACCACGCCCCCTCCGGTCCACAGAAAAACCTCTCTCCACGTAACCGGCCCCTGGTGCCCCAAAGGTTGGGGACCTCTGCTCTAATAGATGGGAGAACTACTGAGATGGCTCCACTTTTTTTAACAACCATTCATTTACTATTCTTCGTATTAGTTTTTATACTTTTTAATATATTTATTGTTTTTAGCTCTGTTGTACACTGCCCAGAGTCACTTATTTGTGATATGGATGGTTATATAATTTGGTTTAATTAATTTATAAAACAAATACTCAATATTTGTGTTCTCCTTGTGGGCTTTTAATTTGCAGCTGGTCAGCCATTATGGAAATTGTGGACCCACTTTTGATCAAGCACAGCTCTGTCTTAGGTTCTTATATCGTGTAGAAATTCTGATCATTCCTAAATCTTTGTGATTTTAAAAGGTGAGACAATGTTATTCCATGGTGGCCAGAAATGTGTAGCCATGTGACTTCAGCTTTTCTACTTAGGATATTTAAAGTATTTTAAGCTTCTTTCTTCTCTGCTTCTCATCCAAGGGGACAAAAGTTAACAGACTGTATTCTGTCTGTGTTTCTGGGACTGCAAAAAAAAAAAAATAGTGGAGGCTGGAGAAGGTTACAGGAGGAGGAAGGTTATCCTTTGAGGAAGATATAATAATAATAATAATAATGATAAAGTTGGAAGGGACCTTGGAGGTCATCTAGTCCAACCCCCTGCTCAGGTAGGAAACCCTATACCACTTCGGACAAATGGCTGTCCAGTTTCTTCTTAAAAACTTCCAGTGTTGGTGCATTCACCGCTTCTGGAGGCAGGTTGTTCCACTGGTTAATTGTTCTAACTGTCAGGAAGTTTCTCCTTAGTTCTAGGTTGCTTCTCTCTTTGGTTAGTTTCCACCCATTGCTTCTTGTCCTGCCTTCAGGCGCCTTGGAAAATAGCTTGACTCCCTCTTCTTTGTGGCAACCCCTGAGATATTGGAACACTGCTGTCATGTCCCCCCTAGTCCTTCTCTTCATTAAACTAGACCATTGATGGTGAACCTTTTAGAGACTGAGTGCCCAAACTGCAACCCAAAACCTACTTATGCATTGTTGAGTGCCGGGTGGGTGTGGCCCATTGGCTGGGTGTGGCCAATTGGGTGGGCGTGCCCAATTGGGTGGACGTGGCTGCGGTGGTAACGGCAGACTGGGTGGGATAAAAAGTTCAATCAATCAATTCCAACTTTGCAAGATCTTTTTTTCCCTGCGAGAAGTTGAAATTGATTGATTTATTGAACCTTTTTTTTTCCACACGGCGGCAGAGGCGAAAAGGGTTTTATAAAACCCAGCTGAAGGCCTAGGACTGGGGCAACGACACGCGTGCCCACGGAGAGGGCTCTGAGTGCCGTCTCTGGCACCCGTGCCATAGGTTCGCCACCACTGAACTAGACATACCCAATTCCAGCAACCGTTCCTTATATGTTTTAGCCTCCAGTCCCCTAATCATCTTTGTTGCTCTTCTCTGTACTGTTTCTAGAGTCTCATATATATGAGACTCTAGTACTCCTACATATATTTCTACATATATTCCCAAATATATACATATTTGGAAAACTATTTTCCTAAGCACCAAAAGGCAAGACAAGAAATAATGTTTGGAAACTAACCAAGGAGAGAAGCAACCTAGAACTAGGGAGAAATTTCCTAACGGTGAGAGTAATCAACCAATGGAATGGCTTGCCTTCAGAAGTTGTGGGCGCTCCATCACTGGAGGCTTTCAAAAAGAAACTGGACAACCATTTGTCTGAAATGGTATAGGGTCTCCGGCTTGAACGGGGGATTGGACTAGATAGAAGACCTCCGATATCCCTTCCAACTCTATTATTCCATGTTCTAGGAATGTTCTGTCAAGGTGTGACAGTCCAGTCACACCTTGACATCTTGGCTGGCTTTAGATGTTTAACAGTTGCAATCTCTGGCACCTTTGTTTTCGGGTAGTCCCAGTGGGAAAGGAGAGGCTCTTCACAGATCCATTGAGGGCTCCAAACTAAAAACCCATAAACCAGTGTTTCTCAACCTTGACAATTTTAAGGCATGTGGACTTCAACTCCCAGAATTCCACAGCCAGCATTGCTGGCTGTGGAACTCTGGGAGTTGAAGTCCACATGCCTTAAAATTGTCAAGGTTGAGAAACACTGCCATGAACTCATAGCTGAGGTGCTTGAATGTCCTTGTTCTTCCTGATCCCTGGGGGTTTAGCCGAAGTTTTGAGCCTGCCTGCTTAGTTTCCAAATCTGCTCATTACCCTCACAAACAGCCTTATTGTTTTCCGTTTCTCTGCAGCTCGCTTGCTATGACCAGGCAAAGCAGTTGGTTCTTGGGACTGGTTTACTCGCTGACAATATTTTTACTCATTTCCTGGCCAGTTTTATTGCCGTATGTATATATATATATGTGTGTGTGTGTGTGTGTGTGGGTGAAAAGTCAATTAGGGTGTGTATTTGTGTGCCGTTATAAGAATTATTGCTACTTATGTTAATGTTCAAGGGTTGCTCTGCCAGTTCCTTGGAAAGGGGGAGCTGAGCTTGTGTCCCAGAGCTGCCAATGCTGGGAGTAGGCTGGATTGCTCCATATAGCCATGCCTTTTCTGTGTGCCTGGCTCCTGCGTTTTAATTTTAAGGGGGAAATGTCTGCTGATTAAGAATAATCGCTTTGTAAGGTTAAAGTGGTAGATAAATATCTGCACACAGGTGGTGGCTCACCAAGGCAAATAAAACCCAGAGGCACTTGGCATTGCTACTTTTTTCTTCCTTATCTGATGTTTTTAAAAAAATATGCAAGGCCCGAATGGCAGACTTGACCGGGAGACTTTGGCTCACTTTGGATCCAAAGCTATTCTGATTTACATAGATACAAGTTCTCCTTATTTTAATCAGCTGCTAAAGTGCACCTGCGGTATCCACATAATTTGCAAAGGAATGTTTTGTTTAATTAAGCTTTATCAATTGAACTATTGTCTGTATTTACATTACACTCTAGCCACAGGCAAGGAATTGCCAATCCAAGTCCCATTTTTACCGCCCTTGGAGCCCTCAACCAGGATTTCTGGAAACAAGGGAATTTTTTTTTTTGCCATTTTAGCTAGAAAATGGGAAAATTAACAGTGTTTTAAGTATGGTCCTTCATCACCCTAAAGTGCTCATTTGTGTCAGAATTCATGATTTACAAACTACCATGGCTGGACTCCCATAGATGTTCTAATGTAGCCAGAAGTGATGCCAACTTTGAGCGTTCTTGACTTGGGCAAGGTTTGATAAAGGCCACAGGAAGGTCATTGAAAGGGAAGTGTAACTTCTAGGAAATGGTGTCATATACTTTATATAAGAAATGGGGTTGACAGATGACTTCAAAGACAAAAATCATTAGCTGTCAGGGCGGCTTTCCCAGCGATGAGATCAGAATATCAGCAGGCTCTAGAGCAGTGTTTTTCAAACTTGGAAATTTGAAAACGTGTAGACTTCAACTCCCAGAATTCCCTAGCCAGCATGTTGGCTGAGGAAATCTGGGAGTTGAAATCCACACATCTTCAAGTTGCCAAGCTTGAAAAACACTGCTTCAGAGGGTAACAAAGTTTCCGATTCTTCTATAATAGATCGTGCAATAACTCCAGAAGCTCTAACTTGTTTGGGATGATGTGAGTTGTAATTGAACACATCTGAAGGGGGGTGAAGTCAGAAAAGGCTTCTTTTCCATTTTAAGCCTGTCTAACTGAAAAATACTAATTGTCCTTTAGTTTCATGCAACTGGTTGGCTGTAATGGCCTGCCTATTTCTAAGTGAAAAGACTTTTCCCATTTCTAATGTGGCTGGTGAGATGTGGTGCATTGTGCATACCCTTTTGGTATAAGATAATTTGTATTCCGTTCCAGCTAGAGTACAAGCCATTTCTCCTCCATGCAACATCTCAGATCAGTCTGAATCTGTTTTGTCATCTGTCTTTTTCTGAATTGCAGGGAGGATGTGCTACATTTCTGTGTCAGCCCTTGGATGTGCTAAAAACACGACTTATGAATTCCCAAGGCGAATATCGGGTGAGTGATCGGATTGCTGTGACTGCCAGCTTTCTGATTCGTTAAGAGAACAGGTGCTCACATTAAACATCAGCGGCTAGGCATTGCTGCCTTTGGCATCACAGCCCCGGGGTTTTCAGCATTGTTCGGTTCTTGGATTTCATTAAATAGCTAGAAATGAAACCTTGTGGGAATCTGGGTGGGTTCTGAAGATGGAGTCAAATCAGCACGCATTGAGTTATTCCCATTTTGTTTCAGGGTGTCCTGCACTGTGCAGTGGAGACGGCCAGGCTTGGGCCATTGGCTTTTTATAAGGTAATACAGGAGAGATGGGAGCCACAGTGAGTAACCATGGCATATAGATCAAAGAGGAGCCTAAGAATTTGCTTANTTATGGCTACATTCATCGAGGCATCTTTCTTTTCAAACACAGCTGTTTAATCTTTTTATAACCGTTACATCCAGTCTTGAATGAATATTGCTGACTGGTTTATTCTGCTTTCCAAGGGTTTTCATCAACAAAAACATATTCTGCCATTCCCTTTTCTTGGAAGTAATAGAAGGTGTCTTATTCTTGAGGAATGCCTTGGGGGGGGGGGGAGAGTTGCAACTGCTCAGGATAAGCGGAAAACACAGTTAATGGAAATCCCTATTCTGTAAATTCCAGGCTTTTGTCTTTGCAGAGGGTGTGAAGAAGTTGTTCTCAGGAGGAACAATGGCATCGAGCAGAGGAGCCTTGGTTACCGTTGGACAGGTAGGAATCCAGAGTCAGTGTTGCCTGTGATCCACTTCTAACTATAAGTAGGAGTGTCCATCTAGGTCAGGAGTAGGCAACCTTGGCTCTTTTATGACTCGTGGACTTCAACTCCCAGAATTCCTGAGCCAGCCATGCTGAGGGGAAAGGGAGAGGTTTCCAAGCTGAGCCATGCTGGCTCAGGAATTCTGGGAGTTGAAGTCCACGAGTCATAAAAGAGCCAACGTTGCCTACCCCTGATCTAGGCCAAGAATGTACAGGTAATCCTCAACTTACAATAGTTTGTTTAGTGACCGTTCAAAGTTATGACAGCACTGAAAAAACCTGACTTATGACCATTTTTCACAGTTATGACCTTTGCAGCATCCCCATGGTCACCTGATCAAAATTCAGATGCTTGGTAATATGGTTCATATTTATGACCGTGGCAGTGTCCCACGGTCAGATGATCCCCTTTTGCGACCTTCTGACCAGCAAAGTCAGTGGGGAAGCCAGATTCACTTAACCACCATGTTACTAACTTAAGAACCGCAGTGATTCACTTAACAAAGGGTGACAAGAAAGGTCATAAAATGGAGCAAACTCCATTTAACGACCGTCTTGCTTAACGACAGAAATTTGGGGCTCAGTTGTGGTTGTAAGTTGAGGATTACCTGTAGATGCATGTGCGCACATTCATAAAAATGAAGGGTGTGCAAAATTCAGGGACCACTTCAGAATATTCTGCTCCCTTCCAGGGCATGCTCTTCCAAGGGGAAAGGTCCAGTTTGGTCTACTGGTTAAGGCACCAGGCTAGAAACAGGAAACTGTGAGTTCTAGTCCCACCTTACGTATCAAAGCCAGTTAGGTGACCTTGGGCCAGTCCCACTCTCTCAGCCCAACCAAGGGCGGTGGTTGTGGGGAAAATAAGAGGAGGCAGGAATATTAGATATGCTCACCAGCTTGAGTTATTTATGAAAAATAACAAAGGTGGGACAAATATTGGTGGTTTCCGGAAATAAATTTCCTAAGAGTGATTCAGGATACCCTGAATATGGCATTAGGTCTGGGGCACTTTGAATATGGGATTGATTCAGAAAACTATGAAGTTGCCTTTGGAATAGCTCAGTTGAATATTCCAGACCGAGCTTAGTAAATATATCTCTGCTCATTCAACCTTTTGTCTCTTTTCTGCAACAATCTTGGCTACATTAAGATCACAGTAAAGGGAAGGATGAAAGTTCTCCCATCAGCTTTCTTGATGTAACTGCTGTAGTTGGGGTTAAAAGTAAAAGCCCTCCACCCTCAGCATTTGCCTGCCCCCCCCCCCCCGGCCTAAGCATGGTTACAGCAGGAGCTAGAGTGTGACTAGAATACACATTAGGAGAGAAGTTACTCATGTTTTAAAAAGTATATTTCTGTAAAGCCCACTATCCATAGAAGCTTCTGAGTGTATGTGCCAGTTGTGCCCGTATAAATTGGGGCACTACTCATGGTCATTCATGCCTTGGTCACATCTTGGTTAGACTACTGCAATACACTCTACGTGGGGCTGCCCTTGAAAAGTATCTGGAAACTTCAGCTGGTGCAAAATGCAGTGATGAGAGCAGTTATATGTGTGTCTGTTGAACACACATTACTCCTCTGCTTCATGAGCTGCATTGGTTACCAGTGTGTTCCCAGGTGCTGGTGTGGACTTTAAAAATCCTTCATGGCATTGGGACCAGGTTATTTGAGAATCACTTCTTCCCAATTTCATCTGCCCATCTAACCGGATCCAGCAGAGAGGGCATGTTATAATTCCTTTGCTTAGGGAGCTACATTTGGTGGGCCCTGCTATGGTGCCCACCTATACAATCTTCTCTCCCCTAAGGTGATCACCATTGAGCCTTCTTGAGGTCCCTCAAAACCTGGTTATGTCAGCAGCCCTGGGTACTCTAAAGCAGGGGTCCCCAACCTCCGGTCCGTGGACTGGTACTGGGCTGCAACATGCCAGTAACTGGTCCGCACAAACAAGCAAAGCCCCATCTGCAAGATGCAGGCAGCACACAAAACCATGCACCCTCCGGTCCACAGAAAAACCTCTCTCCACGTAACCGGTCCCTGGTGCCCCAAAGGTTGGGGACCTCTGCTCTAAGAGATGGGAGAACTACTGAGATGGCTCCACTTTTTTTAACAACCATTCATTTACTATTCTTCGTATTAGTTTTTATACTTTTTAATGTATTTATTGTTTTTAGCTCTGTTGTACACTGCCCACAGTCACTTGTTTGTGATATGGATGGCTATATAATTTGGTTTAATTAATTTATAAAACAAATACTCAATATTTGTGTTCTCCTTGTGGGCTTTTAATTTGCAGCTGGTCAGCCATTATGGAAATTGTGGACCCACTTTTGATCAAGCACAGCTCTGTCTTAGGTTCTTATATCGTGTAGAAATTCTGATCATTCCTAAATCTTTGTGATTTTAAAAGGTGAGACAATGTTATTTCATGGTGGCCAGAAATGTGTAGCCATGTGACTTCAGCTTTCCTACTTAGAATATTTAAAGTATTTTAAGCTTCTTTCTTCTCTGCTTCTCATCCAAGGGGACAAAAGTTAACAGACTGTATTCTGTCTGTGTTTCTGGGACTGCAAAAAAAATAATAGTGGAGGCTAGAGAAGGTTACAGGAGGAGGAAGGTTATCCTTTGAGGAAGATATAATAATAATAATAATGATAAAGTTGGAAGGGACCTTGGAGGTCATCTAGTCCAACCCCCTGCTCAGGCAGGAAACCCTATACCACTTCGGACAAATGGCTGTCCAGTTTCTTCTTAAAAACATCCAGTGTTGGCGCGTTCACCGCTTCTGGAGGCAGGTTGTTCCACTGGTTAATTGTTCTAACTGTCAGGAAGTTTCTCCTTAGTTCTAGGTGGCTTCTCTCTTTGGTTAGTTTCCACCCGTTGCTTCTTGTCCTGCCTTCAGGCGCCTTGGAAAATAGCTTGACTCCCTCTTCTTTGTGGCAACCCCTGAGATATTGGAACACTGCTATCCTTCTCTTCGTTAAACTAGACATACCCAATTCCAGCAACCGTTCCTTATATGTTATAGCCTCCAGTCTCCTGATCATCTTTGTTGCTCTTCTCTGTACTGTTTCTAGAGTCTCATATATATGAGACTCTAGTACTCCTACATATATTTCTACATATATTTCCAAATATATACATATTTGGAAAACTATTTTCCTAAGCACCAAAAGGCAAGACAAGAAATAATGTTTGGAAACTAACCAAGGAGAGAAGCAACCTAGAACTAGGGAGAAATTTCCTAACGGTGAGAGTAATCAACCAATGGAATGGCTTGCCTTCAGAAGTTGTGGGCGCTCCATCACTGGAGGCTTTCAAAAAGAAACTGGACAACTATTTGTCTGAAATGGTATAGGGTCTCCGGCTTGAACGGGGGATTGGACTAGATAGAAGACCTCCGATATCCCTTCCAACTCTATTATTCCATGTTCTAGGAATGTTCTGTCAAGGTGTGACAGTCCAGTCACACCTTGACATCTTGGCTGGCTTTAGATGTTTAACAATTGCAATCTCTGGCACCTTTGTTTTCGGGTGGTCCCAGTGGGAAAGGAGAGGCTCTTCACAGATCCATTGAGGGCTCCAAACTAAAAACCCATAAACCAGTGTTTCTCAACCTTGACAATTTTAAGGCATGTGGACTTCAACTCCCAGAATTCCACAGCCAGCATTGCTGGCTGTGGAACTCTGGTAGTTGAAGTCCACATGCCTTAAAATTGTCAAGGTTGAGAAACACTGCCATAAACTCATAGCTGAGGTGCTTGAATGTCCTTGTTCTTCCTGATCCCTGGGGGTTTAGCCGAAGTTTTGAGCCTGTCTGCTTAGTTTCCAAATCTGCTCATTACCCTCACAAACAGACTTATTGTTTTCCGTTTCTCTGCAGCTCGCTTGCTATGACCAGGCAAAGCAGTTGGTTCTTGGGACTGGTTTACTCGCTGACAATATTTTTACTCATTTCCTGGCCAGTTTTATTGCCGTATGTATATATATATATATATATATGTGTGGGTGAAAAGTCAATTAGGGTGTGTATTTGTGTGCCGTTATAAGAATTATTGCTACTTATGTTAATGTTGAAGGGTTGCTCTGCCAGTTCCTTGGAAAGGGGGAGCTGAGCTTGTGTCCCAGAGCTGCCAATGCTGGGAGTAGGCTGGATTGCTCCATATAGCCATGCCTTTTCTGTGTGCCTGGCTCCTGCGTTTTAATTTTAAGGGGGACATGTCTGCTGATTAAGAATAATCACCTTGTAAGGTTAAAGTGGTAGATAAATATCTGCACACGGGTGGTGGCTCACCAAGGCAAATAAAACCCAGAGGCACTTGGCATTGCTACTTTTTTCTTCCTTATCTGATGTTTTTAAAAAAAATATGCAAGGCCCGAATGGCAGACTTGACCGGGAGACTTTGGCTCACTTTGGATCCAAAGCTATTCTGATTTACATAGATACAAGTTCTCCTTATTTTAATCAGCTGCTAAAGTGCACCTGCGGTATCCACATAATTTGCAAAGGAATGTTTTGTTTAATTAAGCTTTATCAATTGAACTATTGTCTGTATTTACATTACACTCTAGCCACAGGCAAGGAATTGCCAATCCAAGTCCCATTTTTACCGCCCTTGGAGCCCTCAACCAGGATTTCTGGAAACAAGGGATTATTTTTTTTTGCCATTTTAGCTAGAAAATGGGAAAATTAACAGTGTTTTAAGTATGGTCCTTCATCACCCTAAAGTGCTCATTTGTGTCAGAATTCATGATTTACAAACTACCATGGCTGGACTCCCATAGATGTTCTAATGTAGCCAGAAGTGATGCCAACTTTGAGCATTCTTGACTTGGGCAAGGTTTGATAAAGGCCACAGGAAGGTCATTGAAAGGGAAGTGTAACTTCTAGGAAATGGTGTCATATACTTTATATAAGAAATGGGGTTGACAGATGACTTCAAAGACAAAAATCATTAGCTGTCAGGGCGGCTTTCCCAGCGATGAGATCAGAATATCAGCAGGCTCTAGAGCAGTGTTTTTCAAACTTGGAAATTTGAAAACGTGTAGACTTCAACTCCCAGAATTCCCTAGCCAGCATGTTGGCTGGGGAAATCTGGGAGTTGAAATCCACACATCTTCAAGTTGCCAAGCTTGAAAAACACTGCTTCAGAGGGTAACAAAGTTTCCGATTCTTCTATAATAGATTGTGCAATAACTCCAGAAGCTCTAACTTGTTTGGGATGATGTGAGTTGTAACTGAACACATCTGAAGGGGGGTGAAGTCAGAAAAGGCTTCTTTTCCATTTTAAGCCTGTCTAACTGAAAAATACTGATTGTCCTTTAGTTTCATGCAACTGGTTGGCTGTAATGGCCTGCCTACTTCTAAGTGAAAAGACTTCCCATTTCTAATGTGGCTGGTGAGATGTGGTGCATTGTGCATACCCTTTTGGTATAAGATAATTTGTATTCCGTTCCAGCTAGAGTACAAGCCATTTCTCCTCCATGCAACATCTCAGATCAGTCTGAATCTGTTTTGTCATCTGTCTTTTTCTGAATTGCAGGGAGGATGTGCTACATTTCTGTGTCAGCCCTTGGATGTGCTAAAAACACGACTTATGAATTCCCAAGGCGAATATCGGGTGAGTGATCGGATTGCTGTGACTGCCAGCTTTCTGATTCGTTAAGAGAACAGGTGCTCACATTAAACATCAGCGGCTAGGCATTGCTGCCTTTGGCATCACAGCCCTGGGGTTTTCAGCATTGTTCGGTTCTTGGATTTCATTAAATAGCTAGAAATGAAACCTTGTGTGAATCTGGGTGGGTTCTGAAGATGGAGTCAAATCAGCACGCATTGAGTTATTCCCATTTTGTTTCAGGGTGTCCTGCACTGTGCAGTGGAGACGGCCAGGCTTGGGCCATTGGCTTTTTATAAGGTAATACAGGAGAGATGGGAGCCACAGTGAGTAACCATGGCATATAGATCAAAGAGGAGCCTAAGAATTTGCTTAGAATTTCTGATATTCCCATGCATTCCTGTCCTAGCAAGCGCTGGCCTCCATACTGTTTCTGTCTGATTGTTTACCTTCATCAAGACATGCAAGGTGGTCTCCATCTTTTCTCTCCAGCTCTTAGCTATTGGTGGCAACTCTGCTTATTGATTTAGGGCTGCCTACCAGTTATAGACAAGATACAGAGGAGCAGAATATGCAATATGTAGTTTGTCTTAGCAATGAGTCCTCATGTGTCATATGCCTTTTGATTCCTAGTCCTACCTTGCCTTCTTATGTCAATGTGTATTGGAGAAGGTGTGACCTGTCGTATGCAGCTGAAACTCCACAGTGTTACAAAAGCTGATTTTTCTCTCTTTTCCTTTTCTAGGGCCTTGTTCCTGCCGGCATTCGCTTGGTCCCTCATACTGTGCTCACCTTTGTCTTCCTGGAGCAACTACGCAAATACTTTGGCATTAAAGTAATGACCTAAAGGAGAAGAGACCTGTTAGAGTAAAAAAAAAAAAAGATGGGGAACAAGGACTACAGAGTCCCAGAATGGCTGGGTGACATATTCTTTCCCTCCTTGAGGGGCAGGTATCCCCTTCACTGCCAGGGCACTATCTGACATCTCACAGAAAGTCCTTGTTTGGCATCTGCTCTTGGCCAGTTCTTCAATATGGTTTGGTACCTACTAGTGGAGTAGCCTTCTAGGATTTTCAGTGACCAGTCCCAAATGCCTCTCTTCTCTGCCCATCACCACCCAAGACCTTTTCAGTGTTGAAGGCTTGCTTATACCATAGCATTCCTCATTAACCTCCAGCCTCTCTGTCTCCTGGCCATAACAGCCAGCATTCCAACAGACATGTCTGATTTATTTCTTACTAATATGCTTTCCTTTTGTGCCTTTTGTGCCTCGTTCAGAAGCGCCCCCCCCCCCTTTCATTGCTTTCTAGTCTCATGTATAGCAATACCCTCTTCCCATCTGTATGGGGATTCCTTTCTCCCCAAGCAGAAGGGTTTTGGCCCTTATTGGGAAGGAGATCCTTCATCACAAGTTTGTCCCACTTCTAAATGTTGCAATTAGGGTTCTGGTGACTGCCAAGGACAGTTGATAGCAATATCAGGCAGGCAGGGGCTTTGACATAGCAGGCTCTCCAATTATTATTCAGTAATGTGGAGAGAACAATGCTTTTCTCACTCTGTCTTGCCTGCTCCCTTTCTCCTACCTCAGTCTTCATTTACTCTTAGAGCTGCAGTCCAAGGAACAAGTGTTTATTTTCTGGGATTGGAAGTGACATTGGGCAAGTGATGTCCTTCCACACACCCCAGTCCATAGCCAGTCTAATATCACTCTTCTCCTTCAATTGCCTCCTTAAACTTGTTCAGCCAAAGCCTCCTGAAACCAAAGGACCTTATACTGATGAGAGGCTGCCTTGGAAACTCCCACCTAAGAGGGAACAGGTTTCCTAAATGCATGTGGATCTTCTCCTGTCCTATGAATGGGCAGTGGAACTGCCCAAAAATTCAAAGATGGGAGGTAAAACTGGAGAGGCCTTGTTGAGGTCCTTGGAACAATAAAAAAAAAAGTAGCCTAGCAGATGGGCTCTTTATTGTCCCTGTGGGATATGGGTGTCAAGTCAGAAGACCATCAATTTTTTAGAGTAACTACAATATATATGTTTGTCAAGCTATTATCCTGAGCCTTTTTGGTACCACTGGAAGGAACATCAAAGGCTGTGGAATCTTCCCAAATTCCCTTGCTTTTACTGTGACGTCATCCAGATTCTACTGTAACATTGATGTATTCTTTGTTTTTCTGTCTCAGAGCCTGTTTAATGAAACGATTTTGGGATGTCTATTGATTTTATCCTCCACCAGCTTATGGGAGGGTTGCTGGCCACATTCAGTGTGCCATTCTGGGGGAGATTACCTTGTCAACTCCAAAAATCAGAGCCAATGATCAGCACTTTAGGAATCACGAAAATAAAATGATTGTGCAAAGCAGGTGTTGTTCATTTCTGGATGGTCAAACAATCCTGTATGCTGCAAACAATCCTGAATTGCAATTCTGCAATTCCAGAATTGAACTTGCAAGCGCTTCAAGAAATAATTGTATAATTGTTGCAGAGAGAAGTGGGTGGTGAAACTGAATTGGCAACATGGATTAATTTTCCACAGGAATTAGTTTTCAAAACTGCAGAAATGTTTTGAGAAATTGTCTTTCTAAATGAGTTTTAATATTTGGATCACCAATAATTTATTGAAATTTCATTGGAGTTATAGGAGATGGTCTGACAGTAGTATTAACTAATTAAGGACTGGGATATGTGGAATCACATGACTCATCTACTGCCCGTTTTGACAAGTGACCAATCAGCCAATAATTGAGAAAGACTGCACAAAGATTTGCCCAAGCAGTTAAAGCAATTATTTTACATGAGAAATAAAAAGAAATAGAAGGCAGGAGCTTATTATGAATGGTATAGCAAAACCTTAATAAGATCCTGGTAGCATTAGCCATATGTCTTATGGAGACAACTAAAGCAGCGGTTCTCAACCTATGGGTCGCGACCCCATTTGGGGTCGATCGACCATTTCACGGGAGTCGCCAAGCAAGGCTGTCCGCCATTTTTTTCCCCTTTTCCGGCGGGTGCCTTACCTCCCTTGAGCTGGGCCAGCTGGTGGTCGGCCTGCTCTGTCTCTGCCGCTTGCCAGCTACGCCTTGGCCGGCGCAGGGGGCGGAACCACGCATGTGCGGCGCTCCCGGGCAGGGAAAGTCCTCGACTTACGATCGGTTGGGTAGTCCTCGACTTACGACCAGTTTAGTCCTTGGCTTACGACCGGTTTAGTCCTTGACTTACGACCGGTTGGGGGTCGCGGCATTAAAAAGGTTGCGAACCACTGAACTAAAGAGATCTTGCTTATCTCTTTAACTCTAACCTTCTCAGAATTTTTCTGTGATTAAAGGAGAAGTTGATGAAATCCCTACATTGAGTGAGGCAAAATTTAATTCATCAGGCTGAGAGAATCACCAGTCACAAACAAACTTGGCTTTGAATTTGAGCTAGCTCTGCGCTGTGACAGTCAGAGGCCAGGATTACTGAGCAGTTCCTAAAATGAGTACTGAAAAAGATAGGATGGCGGGTGCTGCTATTTCCCAAGTTGTGCTCCTCAGTCATGGTATCCATGCCTGAATGGTGTACAGTCCACAGCCACTACATTGCTGGAAACTTTTGCCAGGCTACGGGCCTTCTCATGTGTGGCCTGCCTCAAAGATGAGTCCGGCAGGAGCTGCCAATTAAACCGGGAGTGAAAGCTTGTGTTGTTGAAGTTGAATGATCCTTGGCATAGCATTTTGTTCAAAGTGTGGCTGCTTTAAGCAATGATCCAGTGTCAAGAGGTAGAAATATCCCGTGGGACAATGTTTTCCAATCCTGGCAAACTTGAGGTGTCTGTACTCCAGCTCTGGAGTTGAAGGCCAGACATTTAAAGTTGCCAAGATTAGAAACACTGCTGTAGGATCTGTTAGTAATTGAGGCATCCTGAGGAATAGAAAGGGGTCTAAGGAATCATGCTTCCTTTGCAACCATCACTAAATAGGCCCCTAAGCCTTTCTGGGGTCAGCAAACACTTTGGTTGCATTGGTTCTGTCACGTTGAATGTTTGACCTCTTTGAGTGCAAAGGAAACACATGAATATTGTATTCACAAAAGAGGGAAGGGGGACTTCGTCACCCTGCCCAGCTTGGCACTCCAGTACTGAGTTGATGGATGATGCCTCTATCACTGGACCTGTTGAGATGGTGCAGGCACCCTTGTCACTCAGCAGATGGAGCTCAAGCATTGATGGCTCCCACCACGTTAGCACTGGAGAGAAAACATGCAGTGCCTGGTTTTGTTTTTAATTTTCAAGCTTTTTTGGCACATACGTATTGTGGTATCGATCAGGCCAACTCTAGTTGCAACATGATGACAGAGGGAAGCTTACATAGTTCAATGTTCCCTACAGAAGTTTAGCTCTACAGGGAAGTATGAAGTGATTGTGCCGTAGCTATCGGAGATTGCCAAGTGTACATGGTTCAGCTATGTTTCCCAAGAATTTGGATCGTTGCTGCATAGTGAAAATGGATCATGCTTTAATCTAGCATTTTCTGAGAAACTAGCCCTTGTTAGTTTCTGGTCAGTGTGTTTTGAATTTAGAAAATTGACCTGAGCAGACTGGTTTTAATATGGGTAAAACCCTAATTTATTCTGTAGATAAACTATAGTTAAGTCATAGGTAAGTTCATCATGCAAACACAGCCGATATGCAACTGGTGTGCTGGGTAAGTGTATATAGCTGGCCCTTACATATGATTCTGCATTGAGCACTTTCCAGTGTTGCTAAAAGCTGAGCTCTGTTTGGCTCGGCAGCCCATTCTGTCTAAAATGAGTGATATGACAAGAGTGTTTCTGCCTCAGCAGCTCTTGGTTCTTTAGATGGGCCAAGCAATGTGGCATCTTCAAGGGACAGAACCAGAGAAAGCTGATCCTGCTTCTCCTCCCCCCCCCCCCCCNCCCCCCCCCCCCCATTAGTGGCTTCTTGAATATTCTAAATGAAATATTCACTTGAAACATGAATGAAACATCACTTCAGTTTTTGAAGTCTTTCAACTTGGCACTGAAATATCTTTTGAGATATTCCTTAATGGGCTTTCTATTAATTATTAATATTATGGGATTAATATGGATCTGATCCTTTGTCAGGATTTTAGATTCTGTTCACTCTTGAAATCCCATTTTAAATTAAGCTGGAAAGAAAACAAAGACACCGATTGCCTCGTTCACACATTATAGTTAAGCCACAATGCAAGACTCCTGGTAGTCCTCAACTTACAAGTACTTGTTTAGCAACCATTCAAAGTTAGGGTTTGAAGTGTCTTCTGGCTGGTCCTCACACAACTGTTGCAGCATTCCCATGGTCACTTGATCAAAATTCAGGCACTTGGCAACCAGCACGTATCTATGATGACTGCAATTTCCAGAGCCATATTTGTGATTGTCATTTGCAACCTTCCCAGCTGGCTTCTGACAAAGTCAGTGGGGGAAGCTGGATTGCCTTGCCAATCACAAGATTCTCTTGACTTAACAACTACAGTGATTCACTTGGCAACCATGACAAAAAAGATCGTAAAATTAGGTGCGACAAGTTAACAACCACCTTACTTAGCAGTAGAAACTCTGGTCCCAATTGTGATTGTAAGTTGAGGACTACCTGCGCAAACATGCTGATTAAAAATTTGAATCTAGCTCAAAGGGATCAAGTGGCAAAAAAAGTTAAATTCCAAAATCCCTCTCAAAATATCTGTGCTTTCGTGGCCATTTCAGTGTGGATTTAATTCACAAGCTGCCATGTAAAAAGACCCGAAAGAGAAAGGGATTTTCTGTCACATTCAGATTGCCATTGTGAACATTTCTTCCAGGTCACTGTAACTCTATAGGAAGTAGCCTTACGGAGGAGACACATCTCCTACATCTAT